TGCTGTGAGTAACAGGTAATAAAGTTGTAAATAATATTCAGTTTGTGCCACAGAGTGATCGCTTGAGAGCCGCGGGAAGTATGAACAGCACACGGCAGTGAAAATGAAACCGAAAGCGCGCACTTCATTTAAATGATCATATCGCATTTTAGAGTTATGACTGCGACAAGCATTTGATTTTTTACTTTCATAGCAAACACACAGCTGTGCATGAAAATAAATGTTTACAATGTCTGTATAACTACTCGAGCCTATATAATGTTGATTTTACCAGTGAATTAAATGGTCTAATAATGTTCTCAATGACAGCAAGCATGTATCTCAAACATAATTCAACATCAGAATTATTATAAGTAGAATAGAATTATTTATAGAAACCAGTAGAGCTACACATCATATTAATATTGTTGTTTTACCGTATGTTTAAGAAAAAACAATAATCCCATATTAAGCTTTATTTTACATCTACAGAACCGTGAGAAAATCCTGATCTTTAAATCAAGCAAAAAAATCGTGATTCTCATGTTAGCCAGAATCGTGCAGCTCTATTATCATGGTATTTTGTGTTTCAAGACTTTGGTGTGGTTTACAGCTGCAGTCTACATGTGCTCTATGAGAATAGTGTGTGAGTGCTGTACAGTATGTGCGTGCTTGTGCACATACAGTACCTGATTGCATGTGTTCATGCCAGCTGTGTTCATGGTTTGCATGTTCTGGTGAATAACCTGAGCACATGTTACAAATACTGGAAGGTCAGGAGTAAAGTTCACCGCACACTACGTCTGGAATTTTCATTGGAAATTATTGCCATAGAGCGTCACAGTGGCTCAGTGGTTAGCACTGTGGCCTCACAGCAAGAAGGTCGCTGTGTGGCACTGGACACAAAAATGACACCTACGCCAGGCTGACGCAAAAATCACTTTGGTAAAGGAACTATACTGTAGGGGCGTCATGGTGGCGCAGTGGTTAGCACTGTGGGCTCACAGCAAAAGTTTGCTTGTTCTCACCATGTTGGTGTGGGTTTCATCAGGGTGCTCCGGTTTCCCCCACAGTCCAAACACATGCGCTATAGGGGAATTGATGAACTAAATTGTCCATAGTGTATGAGTATGTGTATGGGTGTTTCCTAGTACTGAGTTGCAGCTGGAAGGGCATCCACTGTGTAAAACATATGCTTGATTAGTTGGCGGATCATTCTGCTGTGGTGATCCTTGAAATAGAGATAAAGCCAAAGGAACATGAATGAATTTCATTTTAGTTGATTTGTTTTCTCTTTATTATAGGAGCTAACCTGCAGCCGGTTTGTTATGTGGCGCAGGAATGACTGGTTAAGTGTTTGGATCTTTGTTCCTCTGAGCCCCACATGAGAGAGCAGCTGTGTTATTGAGATCTAGACTCAGCGTTGTTGCTTTCTTCTCTGTTTGTGTGCAGTCTGTGGGTGTGTGTGTGATGTCACAGCGCACAGCTGCTCCAAGATGAGCTGTGGAAATGCATCTTCACCTATTCTCAGAGACAAAAGTCTAAATGAATTACTATCCTGTGAAATTTGTATTCTTTTTCAAATATTTAACAGAGCAATCTGACAGTATACATTTCCTATATATATATATATATATTCATTGTTTTCTTCTGGGGAAAGTCTTTGAATTTGTTTTAGCTTGGCTGGAATAAAAGCAGTTTTAATAGCTCATATTAGCTCAATATTTCTTTCGAGTTGTCCAATGACTTGCCTAATTAACATATCTTGCCTAATTAACCTAGTTAAGCCTTTAAATTCATGTTTATTCAATTCATGTTTATGTAGCGCTTTTTACAATGTAAATTGTGTTAAAGCAGCTTAACATGGAAGTTCTAGTAAACTGAAACAGTGTCAGTTCAGTTTTCAGAGTTTAAGTTCAGTTCACTTTAGCTCAGTTCAGTGTGGGTTCATTTTCACTGCTGAAAGTTCAAACACTGAAGAGTAAATCCATCGATGCACAGCTCTAAGCAGTCCAAACCAAGCAGGCCAGTAGCGACAGCAGCAAAGAACAAACTTCACCAATTGGCAAAAGTGATGGATAAAAAATCTGGAGAGAAACCAGGCTCAGTTGGGCACAACCATTTTTCATTTAGCCAAACTTCCTGTTTGATCAATAAAATGAAGCGTATGCGGCATAATTAAGTTCAGTTGTTTACTTCAATTAAAATGCTGTTCCAAACAGAAGCAAATTTGACTAGACAGCACTTGCAGTCTAAGCACCAGAGACTGGAGAGCGCTGGACATCCATTGTAGGGGACTGCAGGTGTGAGTAGGGCACCTGGGGGTGATCAGGCTGGCCCACAGGATCAGTGTGCAGACTCGTTTGTCACTGTGGTCTCATGCTGTCCACTCCTCCACGACCACCAGAGCATCAGAGATACCTTGGCATCATTTCTTCACAGGACTTGGATTGCATCAATGGTGCTGCATAATCTCTGGGGGCCTCGGGATGAGTAGCCCCAGGTGGAAATGGAGAATAAAGAAAATAATTAGCGTAGCTGCTGTTCATAGTGCATTTAAACGAGATGCAAAAATGAAGTTTCTTTGTTTGTATACTTTATTGTCCCTCAAGGGGACATTTTCTGTGTATCACACAGCACTTTAGCAAGTTCTGACACAATAACAATTAAAAATAAGCAAACATGCAAAAGAAATACATACAGGAAAAAAAACAACAACACACTATCGACCAGTGTTCAATAGTCTGATCGACACTTGGATAAAAGAGTTCTTGGGCCCTATCATACACCCGGCGCAATGTGGCGCAAGGCGTGACGCAATAGTTGTTTGCTAGTTTCAGATTGGCGCAAGAGTCATTTTGACGTTTAGCGCTACGCTGTTAAAATAGCAAATGCATTTGCGCTCATATGTGCGCCCATAGGCGTTCTGCTCTAAAAAGGAATGCGTGTTTAGGCACATTGCTGGCAAGTTGCTATTTTGTAAAACTATAATAGATTTTTTAATAAACCAGAACAAAGCCGGTCTATTGTCGAGCGCAGAGTGCGTTAGTTGTGCGCCTGACTTACACACTGCTTAATACACACAAGATGTAGAGCAATATGCAAATATCTTTAGATATAAAAAATAATAAGGATGTATATATAGGATATAATAAGGATATATAGGATATAAATATAAAGGATTAAAATATTACAAAACATATAATTTTCTAGCCTACATAAATATAAAAACCACTGCCTTCATGCCTTCTTCATCTCAGAGGGATTTTTTTGTTCATTCATAACAATTTGCTTTTGTATAATGTTATTATTATTAGCAGTATTATTTATTATATCCATATTTATATTTGTTTTATTATAAACAAGCTTAGATTTGACCACCTGTCAGGTTTTAGACCATATGGGTCGCAGCATGTGTATTTGGATATAACTCAGTTTTTTGAGCACACTTTGTTATTATTGTTCATTTATTCGTTTGCTGGAAATTAGAACTGAATTTAGAAATAGTTTTTAAACAAATCATAGCGCTTAACAAACGAAATTAAGTATTTATAGGCTAATGGATATCTGTGCGTACAGCAAGTTTCCCTATCCACGAGAGTGAAAGTGAAAGTAAAGAATGAGGAGGCTCATCTCATTCTCGCGCTGCAGATGCTCTGTTTAACTGTTTTCTCTCTAATGAAGTGTTCAGTTTTTCCACTTACAAATTTCGTTATGTAAATAGCAAATGCGCTTATGGCGCGATGCAACTCACTCTTAAAGGGAATGTGAGATGAGACTCTGATTGGTTTATTCTCAACACACCTATAACTCATTAGGAGAATAAGCTTAACCCTGTTAGACAATGTGCCACGACGCAAAGCGGATTTTTCTGTCCTTATATTAGCAAAAGTGGATTCTGACACGCCCTTAATGCATTTAATGCAAAATGGGAAGAGTACATGAGATGGATTGTTTCAAATTCTTTTCGCTTCATTCAGAGTGCATTGCTCTTTAAGTGTTTGAATATTAGTAAGAGTTTCAGATCCTATTAGTCTCGTAGCAGTTCTGATAATATAAAAAAATATATTTCAGATTTACAGAAAGTGCTATAAATGAAAATAGTAGTTATATAAACAAACAGGTAAAGCATATGAGTTTTTCTAGCAAAATGTCTGGTGCATTAAATGTCACTTTAAGCTGAATAGTATCTTGCAAAATAACCAGTAAAATATTACGTGCTGTCATCATAGCAAAGACCAAATAAATTAATAAATAGAAATAAGTTATTAAAAATATTATGTTTAAAAATGTATTGAAATAACTCTCTGCTAAACAGCACTAGAGAAATATTGGAAAAAGAATAAAAAATTCATGAGAATCATTTTGTCTCTTAACTGTGTATAATCTCCTCATATTAAAAGTTTTAAATCGCATCTTAAGACTTTTTCTTTAGCCATTTAAATGTCACTGTGTCATTTTTATGCTGTATTTTATTCTATTAACTTTCTCTAATTCAGTTATGTTGTTGATATGATTGTGGGACGTCGTGCTTTTAATGTGCATTAGAAATCTGCCTTATAGCAACTTTATGTAAAGAATTATAACGTTGTGTATATGTATATTCTCATTGTATTTTTAAAAGGGTGGCGGGGTGGGTAGCACTGTGGCCTCACAGCAAGAAGGTCACTGGTTCGAGTCCCGGCTGGGTCAGTTGGTGTTTCTGTGTGGAGTTTGCATGTTCTCCCCGTGTTGTTTCCTCCGGGTGCTCCGGTTTCCCCCCACAGTCCAAACACATGCTGTATAAGTCAATTGAGTAAACTAAATTGGCCGTAGTGTATGAGTGTGTGTGAATGTGAAATTGTTTGGGTGTTTCCCAGTACTGGGTTGTGGATGGGAAAGGCATCCACTGCGTAAAACATATGTCTGAATATTTGGCGGTTCATTCCACTGTGGCAAGCCCCTGATAAATAAGGGACTAAGTTAAGGAAAATGAATGAAATTAGCCTTGTAAGCGTGTGCTCATCTATTTCCTCTCTCAGCAGCTAAAGACTGTGAGGTCACACTGTGGGGTGCCTGGTCTCCATGTTCATCCGTCTGTGGGGCGGGGACTACAGAGCGGAGCCGACAGGTGGCTACACCCCCTCGCAATGGAGGCACGCCCTGTCCTGACCTCAAACAGCGCAGAGGGTGTTTCGCACCCACCGACACGTGCAGCGCAGCTAAAGGTGAGTTACTTATTGAGCTGACGTACGAGCGGGCGCAGCCATTGAAATCTTTTTAACTTGACACTTCTGGTCTCATCCACTTCCAGTGATTTTTAGACACAAAAACAGCTTGGAGATGTGAAAGTAAATCCATATAATAGCAATAATAGCAAATTCTTCTTCTTTCTGTTTTAAGGTGGTAGAAAACAAACTTTTTGGTGAGTTACTGCCATCTCTCGCTCGGGTCGGTGACAATACCAATTAATCATTGGGCTGACAAGAGAAACTTACTTGATGGAAAGATGACTGTAGAGGAATAATTTCTGAAGCAGGACCATACTCCAGAAGTACATGTCTTTAGGGTGCTTTCACACTTGTTTCATTCGCCTGGACTGAACCCAAGTTCGATTGTCCCCACTTGCCACCTTCTCGGTTGGTTTGTGTTCACACTGTCTGAACCCCACTACGCTTGCGTCATCGAGCTGCTGTTTTGTTTACAGTTGTTGCTAGGTGACGAAAATAGAAAAGACGTCTGCACTCCGCACATCGCGGTCATTCTGCTTTTACTGAAGCTTTTAGTTTTGGACATACAGAAAGCGACTCGCGTCCATCTGCCACAAATATATTATAAACATTCAGAACATCAGTGTGTCTGCAGAAGCTGTTTTTGGAGGAGACAAGCAGACATCACTGTGTATCACTGTGTTTGCCCTGGCTCAGTCCCGCTTGTCACAAATGTATGAAACATGAGACACACACACACACACACACACACACACACACACACACACACACACACACAAACGAACGTTATGAAAACAATAGTTTGTTGTACAGTTGGCGGTTTACTTGATGTGTACGATTGTTCACATCAGAAGTGAACCGTATCAGAGTTTGCATAAACCGTACCCCAGAACACCTCTTTCAGGCGGACTCGGGTACGGTTCACCGGTGCGCACCCGAGTTCAGAAGACACGTTCACACTAGCTAAACGTACCATACTAAGACGTCAAATGAACCCGGGTGCGGACCAAAAGTGCTAGTGTGAAAGCCCCCTAAGTTACAGTAATTCTGATGCTGTTCTGTTGTTAGAGCTGAATTGGTTTTACATTTATTCACGGTCTGTTCTGCAAGTGTGCTCCAGTGCTGTCTAGTCAAATTTGTTTCTGTTTGGAACAGCATTTTAATTGAAGTAAACAACTGAACTTGTTATGTACATAACAATTATGCCGCATATGCTTCATTTGACTACGTTACATGAGCATCAGTAATCAAATTATTTGCCTTAATCTAATTAAGACAATCATAAGATTAAGGTGTTTACATGAGTTGCTTTTTGAATGTTCCTTTTAATGATCCCGTTTTACATGTTACAGCACAGAATTCGATTAATATCATTGCGCCACCACACTATTCACATTTCCTCTGCAGTTTCATGTAATTTCAGGTGTTTTATGATTATTTGTTGACTTTAATTGCAGTTTGGCACTTTCACTTTCTTTCGGGAACAATTCATGCATGCCCCCTGTGACAAATGGGATATTAGATGCAACTATGAACTGCTGGAAGAGTGTTGTTTTAATGAAGGTTCATACCGCATGCTGAATAGAAGAAAAGAAAAACTTCACATTTCATGATGCAGGTGTCTGTGGTCTGCACTGGCAGAATGGCAAATGAAGACGTCCCTTACCTCAAAACTCTGTGCATTACAAGAAAAGGAAAAACCCTGTACAGTGGGAAGTGTAGTATGCATCCATAACATTTTTTTGCGCCGCAACGCTACTTTGAAGGAATCTATACATTAAACGGCAACTGCGTTTAACGAAAGACAGAGTTAAGATGACGTTCTTTTATCCCACATGGATGCTCTGAGGATAAACAAGAGACCAAGACCTAAAGTATAGTGAGAATGAATGAACGACAGCTTCTACAATTGTCTGAGAGGCATCCCCTTTCTGCCCAGTAGGCCTACCTTGTTTAATTTGATAATTTAAGCAATTTTTTAAAAGATAAATATCATGTATAAAACTGTACATTATTTATATGACTTCATAATACCTATAGATCTGATGAGCTTTTTACATTAATGCACAATGCACAGATATTGATGTTTCACATTATATGACCCTACCAAGCTTATTTCACAATGTTTGCAATGTTCACATTACTCTACTTGCATTAAATCTAAATCTCAGATATTAGAAATTGCAACAGATTGTTCAGATTAAATTAATGTCAGTTTTAATGTTATTGATTAATGCACTTGACAGATTTCAGTCATTCGTTTTACTTCTGCTTTTTCCCTGGTTTACCACAGCGGAATGAACTGCCACTTACTTGACAGATGTATTTTTAATTTCAGGTGGTTTGTGTATTGTGTTTTATGTTTGTAAAATAATCTCTAATTGCATCTCTAGTTATTTTCAGCTAGTTGCCCTGCCTTGTCCCGATAGGTGGATTTAGAGGGTTTTGCAGAAAAAGCAGACGTGGATTTAGCTGGTTTTGACACACACAAAAAAATGACCTTGTTAAAAAAACAAAGAATTGTCTAAAGTGTTATTTTTGAAAACCTGTATTTTATTTACCAGCTAATAACCTGATCATTACATATAAAAAAAAAACTTCTGAATCTAATCCGCCTGATAGAAAATGCTCATTTACAAGAAAAAAGGACTGATGAATTTAGAGGGTTTTGCATCTGAACTCTTCATGTATTTCCAATATCCATATAGCCTGTGCTATAAAACTCCAAATTAATTTAATATAGAATTAGCAGAATCATAACACTTAACTTTGTATTAGCAGTGTGCATGCAATCATTGAAACAACCGCATGTGTGTGTGTGATCCAGGATAAAGAAGAAGAGGGAATGAAAAATGTGTGTTTGTTTATAGTCAAATGTCAGCTGAATTCCCCCATCAGTATTGCATTATAACAGTGCATCATTCAACCTCCAGAGACTTCACCAGATGATTTTACTGGTGCAGCTGCATTATTATTATTATTACAGATCTCATTGCAAGATGTTTGACTGCATACATAAATACAAGCTCTTTACCAATTTACAACGTTGTTATTTTACATTGTGTTTTAATATACCTTTTAATGTCTTTGCACTTCATATAAATGATGTTGCATTGTGAAAATTAAATGCAATTGCGATAAATGTCTCTAAATCAATATGAGCTTTAATGTTTAATGCAATACTGAGAGATAGTGTATTCAAGTTTAAAAATAGCCTTAGAAGTACAGGATGCCAGACTGCAGAACACTGCTGAAGCTGTCCCTGTGCATGTGTGTGTTGTTTTTTTGGCACTGTGCTTTGTCTCTGGAGGAGGTTAATTTGCTCTCTTTCATTATCTTGATCTCTTCCTCCTCTTTAGAGGTGGCCAAAATCCTGCCTGACTCATTCAAGCGGAACTTTAAGGACCCTTGGAGACGGCCGCATATGCTTATGAAGGAGGAGAAGAAGAGGTGAGAGCGAACGTTTTAGAAAGCAAAGTAAAGCAACAACAAAAAAAGGAGAAAACGGTACATTAGCAGATAATGCAAACACATTCCTGTGAATGAAGGCCTTGCACTGCGAGTCTAAACATCAGCAGTGTTGTCTAGACGTACAGCGACCCTCACAACTACAAGAAGAGAAGTATAAAACTGCACTAGGATTATACAGTTAGGAAAGTAAATGTAAAACTTGGACTAGGGCTGCACAGTATTGGAAAAATCTAGTATTGCAATTATTTTATTTATTTTGCAATGTACAGTTAGTCAAAATTATTAGCCCCCCTGTTTGTTTTTCCCCCCAATTTCTGTTTAATGGATAGATTTTTTCCAACACATTTCTAATCACAATAGTTTTAATAACTCATCTCTAATAACTGATTTATTTTATCTTTACCATGATGACAGTAAATAATATTAGACTAGATGTTTTACTAGTATTCAGCTTAAAGTGACATTTAAAGGCTTAACTAGGCTAATTAGGTTAATAGGCAAGTTAGGGTAATAATTTTGACCTTAAAATGGTGTTTAAAAAATTTAAAGCTGCTTTTATTCTAGCCGAAATAAAACAAATAAGACTTTCTCCAGAAGAAAATATATTATCACAAACCTTGCCGCGTTCGGTTTGAATGCACAGTTATAGCCAAAGTTTTAAAACCCTCGTCTGATGATGAGACTGATGTGAATTTGGTCACTGTTTAGTAGCACACTTGCTTAGGGTTAAATATTCAGTCTATAAGCCACCTTATTTACCTAACACCTGATTGAGCCAGGAAATCTTATTAGTGTGTGCTTTGAACACAAGACAATGAACACAATGTGTGTGTGTGTGTGTGTGTGTGAGATCAGTAATGAGGAGTTAAACAGGATCACAGGAATGAAATGGCAGGTGCAGGTTCAAATGAACTGAGATTAAACGACTATCATAGGCTCTTTCCCAGCCGCGCACACACACAGGAAATCCCAGAACACCCTTTCATTAATCACAGGTGTATGGTTTCATGTGTGTGAGAAGAAGACCAGGATGACATGCAGACCATGGAGGAGGAAAAACACAGGCATAACACATCAGACTAATTAAATCCAGTGTAGGAGGACTGATCTTTAACCTTGACTGCACCACACGTGCATGGACAAAGGAATTATTATTGAGTGGAAAGGGTGTTTCGCAATTGAAGTGCATATTTTATTATTGTTTTTATTCTGTTTTGCTTAAATGTGGATCTTTAAAGACGTCCAGAGTTTACATCTTTTCAGATGTCAGTTATCTTTTTAATAGGGTTGGGTATTGTTTAGGATTATGTCGATACCAGTGCTAAATCGATAGTATGAAAACTGTATGGGAAATTATGTTGGATGCCTCTAGAAAAATCTTTTACAGGGTTTCTGCAGATATAATTTCAAATTTAAGACTTTTTAAGAACTTTTTAAGACTATTAAGTAAATTTAAGACCTATATCACAATATCAAAAACACGCATGCATAGAGAGAAAATGCAAAATCACAAAATTAGTGGCAAAATAAATATATTAAATTGAACAGTACTGAAGACAGGTTAGATGCACCATTGAACTACAGAAAAAACAAACATGCATCTTAAGACCTCTTTTTTTGTTTGAACAAACTCATCCCACAGGTTTTTCCAAACTTTTACAAAGACTTTCCTCCTTTTCCACTGCTGTTGCAATTTCTAGCCAAGAATTATTGATCATCTGGTTCTACTTCTCCCTATGATCACGCATGGACGGATCATAGAAGATGTCTGTACAGTCACACCTGTTTCAGACAAAATCTCTTCAAAGTGATTCATATTCAACTCAAATGAAATGCGGCGCTGCGTGAACTGTTCCGCAAACACAGCGATGATGTCACATTCGCCGTGCGCACCGAGTTCAATAACAGAAAGCTGAATGGCTATTGCATGTCGGTCTCTCATTCATAATTGTAATACCGGAATTTTCATTAGGACTAGTGAAATAAAGAACTACAACACCATGAAAACCAAGCAACATCAATAAAAAAGAATTTAAATGAGCATTAGATGTAGCGTTACATGGACATCGGAAAAATAAGACCTGTGCAAAAATATTTAAGACCTAAAACAGCTAGTTTAAGACTTATTAAGGCCCAAAATTTAGATTTTTAAATTAAAGACTCAAGACTTTTTAAGACCCCGCGGAAACCCTGTTTTATTTGACAAAATAATTTTTTTTTATCATTTTAATTGAACAATATAATTAAAGTTTAAAGTGTACATCAACTCATATTTTACATATAAATTGAACTGCATTAATATATTTCTTTTGATCATTTCTTTGTCAGCATTAATTTTAGATTTACATTACCCAATTAACATTACATTAGCTTACTGCTAACCTGTGGAAAAGCTGTCATCAAAATCAGGGAACTCTCTCTTTTTTCCTAGGGTTGCAGCCACTGATCTCTCTATATATAGATCAGTGGTTGAAGCTTGTGACTACGTTTACATGGACTTCAGTTATCTAATGATTTTCCTTAATCTGAGTAAGATGTTTCAGTACCCAACACTACTTCTTAATACTAATGACTTTTACTCTCACATGAGTACATTTTTAGTGCAGTATCAGTACTTTTACTCAACTACTTTCCTTTAACTTACAGTCACTACTTTGTTTTTGTCTATGGGGATTAGAGAAATCAGTCCTGTGATTTCTGTCCAATCAGATCACACATAGAAGGTAAATTGCATCATAATGAACTACTTCAAGACATGTGCGCTTTATTATTGCAGCAAACTGTTTGGAAGCATTAAATGTGTCCAAGAAGACGTCCAAAATCTTTAAACGCATTGACCCAGAGACTGTTTAGATATCACTGATGAGAAGATGACGAATGTTTACTGTATGATGAACGAAATGGCCTTTAACACCCAGCAGGCACAAGATGTCAACATGATGTCAGATTAGCGTTGTACCCTAACATCATGGGGGCGTTGCAATTTGTTTGGAAATGAAAATCGTGTTGACGTCAGAACTCAACATCTGGCCGACATCAATGTCCAACCTAAAACCAACCATATATCAACGCCTAATGATGTTACAGCTTGACATTGTGTGGAAGTCACCACTATGACGTTGATCAGATGTTGAATTTTGGTTGCCATACCTGATGAATAAACGTCAGTATTTGATGTCAATAAGGTCATACTGGATTTAGCTGTTTATTTTCCAGCCTGACCAGCTAAGACCAGGCTGGAAATGGCTGGACACCAGCCTGGAAATGACCAAAACCCCTCTTAAATCAGGCTGGGCAACCAACTAAAGCCAGCCTACCAGCTTAGGCTGGTTAAAGCTGGATTTTTCAGCAGGAATATTTTTGTAATTAATCTTTGCCATTAAAATGACTTTTTTTTTTTTTTTGTCTCCGCCCATATTAGTTTTTTAAATTGATATTTTGTAAATAAGTAAATGAGTTTGGCTGAACTGCTCAGACAACCTAGAATAGTAAAAATTATATATTTTTGCATATCGCTCACGCCTAGTTGAACACAAAATAACAAGAATATTGGAAACCGTTAACCATTGACTTCCGTTGTATTTTTCCCTACTATAGATCTTTATCTTGTGAATCATACTATCCGCTTGTTAAGTGGTGACGTGTATGTGACGTATGTATACTGTTTCCGGGTCCAAGCCGCCATTCATTTGAGTGGAGAAATCATTCGTTTATGATCGCGTTTTATTCCTATCACACATTAAAGTTAATTTTATATAAAGTCAGTGTACACAACAATCTCTGGGCTTGCTGCATAACAAATACCAAAATTTTTATTATTTCTAAAAAATTTATCACCATCTGGCCATCGGATATTAGGCATGGACATATATACTGCGATTGTGATTTTTGAAAGCCTTAAATCACTTTGTAAACGTTTATTATTACCATTTGATGAGTCTCCCCATTCAGTTGAATAGAGCGCTTGGACCCGGAAGACGCTTCGCGTGACGTCACACTTAACAAGCGGATAGTATATATTCTATAGTTGCTATGGTAACACAACAACTGTAGTAGTTAATGTAAACAAATGACCCAATACTATAGTTTCCAATACTAAAGTTTACCCAATGGTTACCAGTTTCCAACATTTTTCAAAATATCTCACCTTTGTCAGAAAAAAGAAACTCATGAAGCCTGGCAGTAAATGGCGAGTATATTGACATTTTTTAAGAGAACTGTCCCTTTAAGTATGCTTTATGCAATAAGCAAACCAATGTCTCTGCTCATATTATGATATGTTATTGACAATTTTGCAAGTTTTTTCAGAGAATATTGGGTTATTGAAGTGTGCAGATGCTGTATTAACCTGTCTCTCTCTCTCTGTCTGCAGTTATTGTGTGCAGATGCGTGTGAAGCAGGCGAGTGCTGCATGTAAGGTGAGACCGTGGAGCGCAGGTTTGATTCATGAGCGCTCCGTATGTGTTGAGTGTCAAAGCGATGCCATGGCGACTGATAACCGCTGTCGTGGAGACGGGCTGCAGAACATCAGGTACATGCATCTAAACACTGATATTAAAGGGAACCTATTACGCCCCTTTTTACAAGATGTAAAATAAGTCTGTGATGTCCCTCCAATGTATGTGTGTAGTTTCAGCTTAAAATAATAATGTTTTAAAATAATGTTTTAACCTCTCTGAAACTGACCTTTTTAGGCTTTGGTCCTAATTGTGCTGTTTTGGTGACTGTTGCTTTAAATTTAAATTTTCAAAAGAGGGCGGAGCTACAAATGGATATGTAGATTCCATAGCAGCAGATTCAAAGCGGACGGCTGCTTGTCACTCAGGGCTGTTTATGCTAATGAGGGAGAGATGGTCAGTAGTGGGCGGGAGAACTGTACCTAATTTTAGTTTCATATAAATTACAAAACCAGAGAACGTCTGTTTTCAAGTGTAGTTGGTTTATTTAATAGTAGAGATTTCAAACATTATGTTATATACAATTGAAGACCAAGCTTCAGCCTCCTGTTCTCCCCCAGAAAGCCAATACGAAAGTAAATGAAACTGCAATTCATCGAAATTCCGCTAGCTGTTAGAATGGCCAACTTTACAACAGAAAAAAGGTGTTTACAGCCTGTTACAAAGATTGATTTTGGTTAATACAGCTAATATTACCCTTCATGACAACTGTGAGGGGGTGAATTTATTTATAACTCAACCGTTTCCTTTATATTAAATTTGCATAATTAAGGGCGTGTCCACTTGAGTGACAGCTAGGTCTCGCTGGTCACCGTCACTTCAGCTCAGCTGATTCAGGCTGATTAGCTGCTGATCTCGGCATATTCATCCTATTTTTGTGTTGTTTTATGTGGCTTTACACAGTCAGTTGCCTTTTGGACTTATTCCTTACAATAATCAGATGGCATGGCATGCTGTGTGCACTTAATTATGCTCACAAACCATTCACATGGCCTCCGTTTCCCATGTGAGTAAAGTTATATAGTTTTATACCATCTCTATACATGTATTTGTTTTATTTAAGATCATTTATCATTTATAATGTTCTTAAGAGCTGTAATGCACTCCAGAATCTGTCAGATTGATTAGCTGTAGGCTCTAGAACAGTCATCTGAAGCGTTGTTATACAGTGTTATGCTGGATTTCATCAATAGTCTTACATTAACTAATACAGACTATATCTGAAGTGTCATTCTAGATGTGCACGCGCTCTTTCCGGCAATCTTCCTTCTGCATTCACACAGCGCTGCATTCCGGCAAATTGCCGGTAATGTTACAACTGCTCTTTCCGGAAAATAGCCAGAACAAATTTACCGGTATTTTCAAAAAGGGCCTGTTCACACATACACACCTTTCCGGAAAATTGCCGGTAATTTTCCGGAAAGGTGTGTATGTGTGAAAGGGGCTAATGACTTGCCTATTTACCCTAACTTTACCCTAATTAAGCCTCTAAATGTCATTGCAAGCCGAATACTAGTGTCTTGAAGAATATCTAGTCTAATATTATGTGCTGTCATCAAGACAAAGAGAAAAGTTCTCACAAATGAGTTATTGAAACTATTATGTTTAAAAATGTGTTTCCATTAAACAGAAATTGGGGGACAAATATACAAGGGGGGCTAATATCTCTGAATTCAACTGTATTTCTCATGTCAGTGAAGCAAGTATTCGCTGTGATTTCAGCTTCCGGATGGTCCATTAATTAATCAAACTGAATATCAGAATAGACTTTATTGGAATATTTCACAATAAAGCTGAGAAAGCCCAGAGCAAACACATCTGCAGTCTCTCCCCAAGACTGTGTATTCTTTATACAATGTTCTCTCCCCACCTCTAGGTGTTCTTGTTTTAACTGACCATCTTAAGATGTTTTCCCTTTACTGAGAGATTTAGCATATCTTTAGGTGCTCATGTTATTCTGGGCCCTGTCCCCTGCAATGCAAGCAACTGTTTTCACACCAAAGTTGACCCTCCATAGTTGCAACCCCTTCTGAGTGTTTACATACATTGCCATTATGCTACGTTAATTTGAAAATATGTCACTCACTCTCCTGAAAACCTCTCACAGATTTAACTTCATGTGTGTGTTTTACATGTAACAATCAATGTTTTTCATTCATTTTCCTTCAGCTTAGTGGCTTTATTCATCAGGGGTCGCCACAGCGTAATGAACTGCCAACTTATCCAGCATGTTTTACACATCCTTCCAGCTGCAACCCAATACTGGGAAACATCCATACACAATTATACACTTTGGCCAATTTAGTTTATTCAATTTACCTATAGTGCACCCGGAGGAAACCCACGCCAAGACGAGAACATGCAAACTCCACACAGAAATGCCAACTGGTAAAGCCGGAACTCAAACCAGTGACTTTCTTGCTGTGATGCGACAGTGCTAACCACAGAGCCACCTTGTCGTCCTCAATGTTTTTCATATAAACTCATTCTCCAGCAGTTCCTCACAACGGTGACCCCACACATTCCTCAGCAGAGACGCCCATCCTACACACACCACCAGTTGTCCTCTTTTTTCTTAAAATACACCACCAGTTGTCGCGCTTTTTCCTCAAAATACACGTCTAACTGTCTCTATATGGTTATCCAGGTTGACATGTTTACTGCATGCTTTTAGAGAATACAAGATCTCCTTCAATATCTGCAGAAACCGTTGTAAAAGCACACGTCTGGTCCAAGCCCTTCCCTCTGAGAGTTCTCAGTCTATATCAATCAATGACTGACTCCTTCACTAGATGTCGGGGCTTTATTTGCCATATCCATTACACTTTTCTCTAAAAACAATACAAGTGTCATGTCTTTCATATTGAGTATTTTTCTCCCTCTAGAACCTTCTGGGCTGCTGCTCAGGCACCGGGCTGCTCTGGGTCGTGGGTTCGAGAGTCACTCACTGAGAACTGCCGGTGTCCATCATACTCTGTGATTTTCGTCTGAAGCAACCTTTAAAAGCTCATTTTGAGGGACACTTTATTCCACAGGAGTCTTCAAGAGCCTCCTCCTTTTGAAGCCAAATTCTCTCCATCAAAGGTTAAGCAATGACGCCCCAGTATACCTGTCACTTTATCTGTTTCCCCACCAAAACAACTGCTTTTCTCTGCTGTCTACCTCCACAATGCACCTGCACCCGTTTCTAATGGCTCACTTTGTCTACTCTCTCGACTGTCTTCTGATTCATATGTACTGTATTTATATATGTTTGAATGTAATGCCCGTGCGTCTGTTTTGTGTGTGTGTTTGTAAATGCACGAGTCAAGCTAATGTATGTGAATGTTTTTGTAGTATTTCGTTTTCCAAGAACTTTATCTTTGAGTTTTTCCAAGTGTCCTGATCTGAATACATTGAACTTTCACTTGTGGCTTGAAAGTTTCAGAAACCACACTCGATTCCTCTTAAAAATGTTTACTATTATAGTGTAAAAGCTAATCAGCCAAAATTGTGGTTAAATTGTCACCCCACAAGGACAAAAATACTATAATAATTAATAGCAAACCATTCTATAGTAAAGTACTGCAATAAACTCTTGTGGTGATTCTATAGTTGCTATTTTGTACATATATGTGATACGCCACAGTTTACTGTAGTAAAAACTAAATTATACTACAGTATTCACTACAGTTTATCAGTTCACTACAGTTAAAGGTGCTGTATGTAAGATTTTGACTCTTCTAAAGCAGTAAAAAGCCATAACATGTTTGCAGATATTTGAGAAACATGCTAAATGAACATACTTGTTTATCTGAAAAACAATGCTGAAGTCAGATATTCTGCTTTTAGTTACGTGCCGGAACGGCTGTCTTTGTTTTGGTTATTTTAACCTGCCCAATGCCTGTTTAGCCTTAATGGAAAACCACGTATTTCATTCAGTCATGAAGGCTCTCAAAGAATGCGCCTGTGACTGAAATGCGTCCTCCGGTGGACAATAGCAGACGCAGATTCAGTTCCACATGAGGTGGTTATTAATTAGCAAATAATATAACGCTGTGTCCTAATAACACACTACATGACGAGATTTGCAGTGATGAGCAATTTGGCTGTTTGCACCAGACGAAACACTACAGAAATGTAAATACAGCCATTCAGAAGCACAGAATAGTGCACTCACTGCACTCCAATGAAATGGTAAGGTTTATAATGTAAATACATATTAAACCTCTTTAACATTATTAAATGTAGATGCTGAATCACTGATATGTGTTGGCTTGCACTGAATCAGTTCTAAAGTTTAGTTTCAGATGGTTTATTTTATTTTCCAGATCTGATTTGAACTATCTGCTGCTGCTTTCAGTAGTATGGCAATAAATGTGATGAAAAACAGCATTTAAACTCACATTATTAGCATTTAACAATGAATAAAGCACATGAGGTGTACCTGAGCTGATCATTGTTAGTTTTCTGTTGTTCAGCTGTGAGAAATAGAAGCCGTTTCTAAAATATAAATATCAGGTGTTGGTTAAGACAAAAACACCTTTTAATATATCGCGTGCCGTTGCTTTTATTTTCAATGTGACTTAAATCAGTGTTTAGGCTCGATAGTTAGTAGGGTTGGGCAATGTTGACCAATTTGGCATCGTACGATGTCTAATGTGAAACCACGATGGACGATGGCATCGTCATCATGTGAAAAGCGAAGGGGAGGGGGGGGGGGGTAACTTATTTGAGGACCGGGAGGGAGGTGCGCGATATCCAGGACATTATCACTCATATCATTATGAGTCCCGCAAATGCATAGAGACTCCCAAAACTTCCGGGAGACTTGGGATGTCTGAATATCACGTTAAACAACAATAGTGAGAAACGATCCAGCGGTACATCATTGATAAAGTGACAACGTGCACTGCTCTCTGCCTGGAGCTCAGAGGCGCATGACAGTGCGTGTCTGTGTGTGTGTGTGTGGTCACGTGATGTGCATTTTCAGTGAACGGAGAGCTGTGGTGGATGTGAATCATTTTCGTTCTAAAATGCCATTTTAACACTAAGACGTATTAGTTTAAATGGGGCCAAGTGTGTATTTTTCGCAAGCGGGTTTGCGACGGGGCGGGGCAGAGGATCAGCGATGACGGCTCAACATCGTGTTGTCTATTGTGCATAGGCAACAATACCCTAATAGTTAGGGATATTTCTGTTGATGTCATCAATCTGGCAACCTGCGCTTGCTGTGTTTTGAACTAGGAGTGTAATACCTAGTTCAACCACCGGGTGACAAACTTACATACTGCACCAATAATACTGCATCATTAACAAAAAAAAAAACGTAAATATTATAATATATACAGTATAATACACTTTACTATAGTGTGGTTCAAAAACAATTTAGTATTTACTATAGTATTTTTTCACTTGGGTACAGCTGATGACAGTATAAATAATTTCTTTCTGCTGCTTGCCATATTTTATTTCCATAAAATTATTATTTTTATTTTATTAAAATAAATTTGCAATTTATTTATTATTACAGGATTTCTGATTGTAATATATAACATCAGGACTGAACCAAACCAATTCTATCTAGATTTCAGTTTAGTTTCTAATATTAGTCAATAATATTCGAGTTTTATTGATGCTTTTGTATGTTTTATTGCTTTTTACTATTATTTGCGATGTTCTTCTTTGTTTCCCATCACACATTAAACAGTCATAGGTCTCGAGTCTTTCTTTCTCTTTATTGTTTGTTCAATTGGCACACGAGTGTGAATCTTTCTTTCGTATGGAAGCATATGAGTTTGCAAAAGGTTAATTTTCAAATCTAATATGCAGAATGAAAATGATATATGTAAATTGGCAAAGCATTCGTGCATTTAAATTAGTTTTTACCATCACATATGTAAAGTTTTGTGCAAAATGAAATTATATAAATTTACATTTGCCATTTCCAACAACAGTTCATTCATTCATTCATTCATTCATTTTCTTGCTGCTTAGTCCCTTATTTATCAGGGGTCGCCACAGCTGAATGAACCGACAACTATTCCAACATATTTTTTACGCAGCGGATGCCCTTAAAGCTGCAACCCAGTACCAGGAAACGCCCATAGACATTCACACACACACTCATACACTACGGACAATTTAGCTCATCAATTCCCTATATTGCATGTGTTTGGACTGTGGGGGAAACCAGAGCACTCGGAGGAAAGCCACAGCAACACGGGGAGAACATGCAAACTCCACACAGAAATGCCAACTGACCCAGCCGGGACTCAAACTAGCGACCACGGATTTTGCATGTTTAAAAAGTATCGATACATCAAAAAGACATTTCATTTGTTATTTTTCTATTTTTAAACTAATATAATAAGATAAAATAAAATAAAAAGAAAATATCAGTTTGCAACATTAAGCAGCACAACAAGCTGTTTTTAACATCTAAAAATCAACGGAAGTGAATAAATATCACGTAAAATTGTATTTAAACTCACATTGGGAGCATTTAACACTGAACAAAGCACATCATTTGTACCTGAGGTGATCTTTGTCATAGTAGTATATGACGTAGTGTTGTCACGATACTGGAATTCGATACCAATTGGTGCTGAAATTTTAGAAACGTCCATTTCCCCCTATCATTTGAGCACTGTTGAGAACGTTCTTAAACAGCACTGATTTGCCGTTGTTTTCATGTGCTCAACAGAAATGACTAATTCAGGGCTCGAAATTGCGACCATTTTGGTCGCATATGCGCCCGAAATTTTATCTATGCGACCTCAAAATATTTTGGGAGCATGTGTGCGAGTGCTTAAAATTGTTGTGTGCGACCAGTTTTTACTGCAAAATGTTCAGCACATACGCGGATTCGGGAGACATTCATGCAGAATGCATCTCTAAGCTCCTTGTCTGCACTTGAAATGCGAAACGCAGCGCTCAGGAATGGTTTAAAACAGTTGTCATGTCAACTTGCTGCAGTAAACAAAGCCAAGTCCGTAATGCTTGCCCCGCCTTCGCGCTCTTCTTATTGGCCCACCACTGCTCTAGCACTGAACGCGAATGATTGGTTAATATCAGCTGTCAATCACTCACTCAGCGCCTTCTGGCTTCGGATGACAGAGAGAGCTACTACTGCGAAAAACTGTAAAGCGCTGAAGATGAGAATGAAGATAACACTGACATATTTAGTTTTAGAAACCATCTAGTTATAAATAATGACACATCTTACTAGTGACCATGTGCTGAATGTTAATCCATCTACACTTTTCCAAGAGTAGAAAACTTTCATTGGCTTCAAGTCCGCTATGAAAGGTCTGTGGGATGGAGTTTTCAGGTAACTGTTTGCCACATCTAGCACGAGAGCTTCTGTTTAATCCTTCATATAATCGCCAGATGCTGTCCGCCGTGCAACTGGCAGCTATATGTCAAATTTAACACCACGTACACCATCGCAAACAGGCTTGCACTGAGTAAACTAACATCGCTACTCCTAAAAAAAAAACGGTATTGCTATTAACATGTATGCATATAATAAGGTGCAGTATATGTCAAAAGCATCAGTGCAATATCTGACAGCACTTGTGAGAACAGCAGAGTTATACCGTTAACAGATTCATTGAAGCAGTGTGTGCAGGGCCGGTGAGCGCTCCGTGTATCTTTTGGTCACCGATCAGTTATGTTATAAAAATGTATTTTCTTTTGATAACGGGATTTCGTTGAGACATATTTTCCTCACGCTTGCATATATATATATATATATATATATATATATATATATATATATATTTACATTTACATTTAGTCATTTAGCAGACGCTTTTATCCAAAGCGACTTACAAATGAGGACAAGGAAGCAATTTACACAACTAAGAGCAACAATGAATAAGTACTAAAGGCAAGTTTCAGGTCTGTAAAGTCTAAGAAGGGAAGTGTTAGTAGTTTTTTTTTTTTTTTTTTTTTTTTTTTTTTTTGTACAATTAGTGTGATATTCAAAGAGGGAATTGCAGATTAGGAAGTGAAGTGGAGACTAAATAGTTGAGTTTTTAGTCGTTTCTTGAAAATAGCGAGTGACTCTGCTGTTCTGATGCAGTTAGGGAGTTCATTCCACCAACTGGGCAGATTGAGCGTGAGCGTTCGCGAAAGTGATTTTTTCCCTCTTTGGGATGGAACCACGAGGCGACGTTCATTCACAGAACGCAAGTTTCTGGAGGGCACATAGATCTGCAGAAGTGAGTGCAGATAAGAAGGTGCTAGGCCAGAAGTCACTTTGTAGGCAAACATCAGAGTTTTGAATTTGATGCGAGCAGCAACTGGCAGCCAGTGCAAACGGACTAGCAGCGGAGTGACATGTGCTCGTTTAGGTTCATTGAAGACAACCCGTGCTGCTGCATTCTGGAGCAGTTGAAGAGGCTTGACAGAGTTAGCTGGAAGCCCAGCTAGTAGAGAGTTGCAGTAATCCAGTTTGGAGAGAACAAGAGCTTGAACAAGGAGTTGAGCTGCATGTTCAGATAAGAAGGGTCGGATCTTTCTGATGTTATAGAGTGCAAATCTGCACGATCGAGCAGTTCTAGAAATGTGGTCAGAGAAGTTTAGTTGGTCATCAATCGTTACTCCAAGGCTTTTCACCATTTTGGATGCAGTAATGGTTGCCCCATCCATCTGGATTGAAAAGTTATGGTGTAGAGTCGGGTTGGCAGAAACTACAAGCATTTCCGTTTTTGCGAGGTTCAGCTGAAGATGATGATCTTTCATCCAGTGTGAAAT